AGGAATTGTGTTGCAGTCTCTCCTTAAATTTGAGGTGACCAAAAAGTCTCTGCTACAAACAGCAGTGCAGCGAGAAGAGACTGACCTCTTTCCTAACAGTTCTTTCAGGTCCTCCAGTGCAGAACGTCCAGCCGCACCAGCCCTCCTAAGACACCTCCCACACACACTCGCACACTGTTGCCCGAGAAGACTCGGAAGCAGGAGCAAGACCCTCCACCCAGACAGGGGGCCAGCGAGGCCACTTCACCGGACTAAAGAATTTCAATCACTTAGGGCTTGGTCTTTCTAATCAATAAAGGATATGTGCAAGGCTAGGGTTTTTCCTCCCCAAAAGGGGTCACGGTTTTTAATAAAATATCTAGTTTTAGCCAAAAGACTGATTAATATATCATGAATGAAAAATACTTCTGAAAAAACCTACAATCATTGTAACATTAACATTTGGTTCATTATTAACATGCTGAAAAGTGACAGGCCATTTCAGAAGAGTTGGGAAAATGTTCAAGCATTAGGGACAAGCCTTTTAATCTGTCCATAAATCTCCTTTGCCTGAGGCTGCACACCAGAGCAGATAGGCAAATCAACAAAAATAACAATACAGATACTTCTGTCACTAATTGGACAGCAAATGTCAGAAAGCAAGCCCAAAGAGACAACTTGTACTGCAGTGATTAATTCCATTAGTGGACCAGCAAGAAGAGCTACAGCTACTTCTCCAGGCATCAAAAGTCTAGGCTTGGAGCCAGTGGATTCAAAAGGTTTATTTGAAATAGTAACCATCCCAATAGCCTCCAGAGACGGCAGGTATTTTTAAAGGTCATCCACTCCACATAGATGACTGGGCTGTCCAAGGTGTCTGCCTGTGGCTGGAGGAGGGGACAGGTTGGCAAATTGAAAATCCAAGGAGCAAATGACCCTAAAACTTGCAGCGAAGTGTAGCTACCTTTCTAGCCCTTCTTTCCTAGAGCTGGTAGCCACCTAGAGTCACAATGGCCACAAGAAGTACAGTCGTGTAATTCTTCTAGTCTTTGCAGTACATGAAACCAGGATGCTATTTTACCCACAGGCTTCCAAAGTAATGTTATAGTTACTTGCACATAAACATCAAACTGAAAAATCATCAATTCACGTCAAATGAAGTGTCAAAGACTGTCCTGTCTCTGTCCCTATCTTGCATGGTAAACCTGTGCTTACGCCATCTGGATATTTAAGGGAAATGTGGCAGAGGGATGGACTTTTTCATCGAACAGGTAACGGTTTAGAAATGGTGTTCAGCCCCACAACAATCTCCCTTGCACCTTACCTGTGGGAACAGGAGCTTTTAGCCTCTATCTGCTTGTAACCCCCCAACCCTGGAGTTTGAGGAATTAGCCATGTGGTGAAAAAGGTTAGGGAAGATGCTTTTCTGGAGTTCAGACTTAGAACTTTTGATTGTATTTTTTCCTATGGGGAAAAATACATGAATGTTAAAGTGAAGTTGTTAATATTACGGCCCTAAGTGTAAATATGGACTAAAATGCATAATAGATAATGTGAAATACGAAGAAAAGGTGCAAAGGGGAAGGGGAAGTGGGAGGGGTAGGGGAAAGGAAAGAAGGGAATGGAATTAATATGAGAAAAGGAAAAATGGAAACAAAGTCTTTGTAGACAGGGAGGGGTGGAGGGGGTGAAGGCAGGGCAGGGGAAGGGGAAAAATAAGAACCAAGATGGATTATGTAAAGGTGCAAATTTACAATGATGAAGGTCATTACACTGTATACCTAAAATGCACCAATAAAATTAATTTAAAAAATAAATTTTAAAAATTACAGACCAAAAGGCCTTAGATTGCTCCCTTAGAGCCCAACAACTACAATACCGTATCTACACAGAAGACAGTGTGTAAGCAAACTTCAAAGGCCAAATCTATTTAAAATATTATCTGTGTTGCACTGTATTGCAATTTCAAAAGCACTTTACGTATTTAAAAATTCTTCACACAGATTTTCAGTTAATCCTTCTAGCAACACAATGTGCTGGACAGAGAACTTGTCATCGCATTTCTACATTTCCCACTGCGGTGCCACTCTAGATGAATGGTGTGTATGCGCCGTGCGAACCAGTCAACAGGGAAGCCTTCCTTCACTGAGCGAGCCAGCCCTGTGCAGCGTCACACCACACCACTCCACTCCACTCCACTCCACACCCAGTCCTTCCGTGCCCTCGGTCTCTGCCCAGGCTCTGTGTCCCCACACTGCAGCTGAAAACCAACCCTCCACTTTCACGAACACAGTTCCCGTGCCCCTCCGGCCCCATTTTCCTTCTTCCTTTGACCCCAGCACTGTATCGCTTTTCCCACATGCATAAACAGGTTTGGGCCCAGAAGATTTGGTGTGGGTCCTGCCTGTCAATTTACTATGTGAGAGAACTAACAACTAAAGGAACCATGGCAACGGCTGAAACACCAGTTTCCTTACTGGTATCACAGAAAAATGGAATATATGCCCACACAACTATGAGGAAGTTTAGATGCACGGAAAAGTTAGTGAGAGCCCTACACAAGTCACTCAGCCAGGGTGTCTGTCCTCTCCATCCCCTCCCTCCCACCACACTCCTCCTTCCTCATGTTCCACTTTTACTTCTCCTATTTCTCATTTAAGGAAAGCTCTGTACCTAACAAATATTTGGGTCTGTCAGAGCATTTAATCCTTCATAAGTAGGCATTCGATACTAATTTAGAAAATAAATAATCATATGTATGACTATGTTAACCCAGGTATGTTTCCTAAAGTAGAATTCTCATCACCACCTGCTAAATAGGAAAGGCAAAACTATGATTTCAACTCATCTCCAACTGCAATGCCCACCCTACCCATCACTCGAGCTCACCTAGATTTATTCCCTCAATACTCCTTGCACATCTCTGCCTCCAGGTTCGACCCAAATCATCACCCCCTTCATGTCTTTTGTCTGAGGAGAAAGCACTCACCCTCGTGTACGCAGCTCAAATGCCACTTTCACCAAGAAGCTTTCCTTAATCTTCCTCCCTGGAACCAGCTCCCCACTTTGCAGTCCATAACATTTGCTCCTGGTTCTCACAGCTCTTATCACCTGACCACATATTAGTTTCCTTGTGATACATTATCCGAGTACATTGGAATCATGTTAAGAGCACCATCCACGTTTTAGTTCTATTTCTATCCTGCCAAATATGTAGCAGAATGTCTACCATACTACAGACATTCAAATATCTGCCTTCCCAAGCGCAAGGACCCGAGCTTGATCCCCAGTACCAAAAAAAGAGGATAAAAAAATCTGCCTTCCAAATGGGTATACAAACAATGCACGTAGCTTCAATTTCCCACTGCATATTTCTGCCTAATAAATCGTCACCACGTTACACATGACAGATCCAAGCATTCAATGAGAGTGTCATGTATCACTGGAACACATTATACTTCACATTCCTATCAAGGCAGGACACCATGGGCAGAAACATATCTTTACCGAAATTTAAAAAGCTACACATAAGTAAATAAACTAATACTTATAATCTAATTTTCTCTATAGTTTGAATATGGCATGTTATTAATTAAAATTTTATCAGTAGTGGATGGTTTATTTAAAAAGTTAAGCACTTGGGCCGGGGATTTAACTCAGTGGTTTCACCGCCTGCTGCTCAAGCGCAAGGACCCGACTTTGATCCCTGGTATCAAAAACACTTAAGCACTTAATATTACTTCTGGTTAAAAGACTAAATGTTTTTTAGAAAACAAATGAAGACTGACATAGTCTAAACCGAGAACATTTGTAGTTTTCAATATATTTAGTATCCAAGCTAACATAAGTTATCAGAGGTCATTACTGCTCTTATCTTCTAGATTCCGTTTGCAACAAGAGTAGACATCCTACTGCCCAGGGACATTTCACTCACATATGCTTCATCACCTGCTGTCAGTTACTTCCTGGGCTGTCCACAGACATCACACATGGACAGCCCACGAACAGCTGTCCTCCAGATGGACAACTCTGCCTCCCCCGAGTGGGGATATCAGATCGCTTTCCAAAGAGAACTCACACTCTCTTATGCCCTACACCTCTCCATCCTCGCTTATTTATAGCATTATCCCAGCTTCACTGTGTCAGTTAACTCTACAGAATTTCCAGGTTTTTAGGCTGTTTTGTGGGGGTTCTTTGGTCCCTTTGTTCTAGAATGCACCCAAATCTCTATCCATTAAAACACTACTTTATCCTGGGCCTCTGAGGGCTGGGTTAATATTAACTGGCTGAGGATTACCTTTCCATCTTCTATTCTCAGGAAACAGCCCTGCTCACATCTGGGCCACTACTGGCCCATGTGACTTGATGGTGAAGAAGGATGGCCCAGGCATCGCCCTGGAGATGCCAATAATGGTCTTCTGAGAGGACACCCAGCAATGCAGAGCCTGCTCTAAGGGCTTCACTTTGGGAACGATCCATTCTGTTACCCCTGACTCTCAACTAATGAAAGAAGCTTGCCCTCTGAGTGTTTCACAATCACTGGGAGGGAAAGGCAGATACAAATTGAAAAATTATTCTCAATTTTATATTAACATTATATTTCCCTGCGGTTTTCCTAATACAATTATAATCCTAGTTTAAAAATACCAAAATTTAATGGGTAGAAGCATCAATTTCAAAGTTAAAGCAGTATCACTGTACACTAAATAATAATGTAGACTTTATACACAGAATGAAATGAGTAGGCACTCAGCATCTTTCAAACAATTCAGACTTGTTTTAAATGTCAAACTGAGGCAATATTTTGGGTTTACCACTGGAGAAAATATAAAATAGTAATTTATAATTGACAGAGAAGAAGAAAAAGGAAGATAGGAAGGAGGGAAGAAGGAAAGAAACAAGGGGGGAAGGAAGCATGAGAGGGAAGGATGGAAGGGAGGAGGAACCAGAGAAAGACAAGATCATCCTGTAAGAAACAAATCAATCATCGTGTATAGAAGAGCCTGGGTAAATGCACTCACCTCGGTTAAATGAGGATTGGGATTAAATCCACAGAGGCTACAGACAGTGGTTTGACACTCAGTGCATGTGTTAAAATTGGCCTTTTCTGGAACATGTAACAGAAGTTCAGTGGTGTTGCAAAGAGGACAGATGGTTTTAGAGGAGTCTTGTACTGGAATCTGAGTTACAGATGGAGAAGTTGGTGGTGGTTGTGGAGGTTTCCCAGTTACTGGTTTTGAAGATTGCTGAGCTAAGGGTTTGCCTGGGCCTGGATGTTGTGCTGCGGGTTTTCCTCGACCTGGCTGCTGAGCTTGGGGCTTTGGCAGGCCTGGTTGTTGAGATGAAGGCTTTGCTGGACCCGGCTGCTGAGCTGGGGGCTTTGCTGGGCCTGGCTGTTGAACCGGAGTCTTTCCTGGCCCAGGCTGAGCTGGAGTCTTTGTAGGCCCAAGGGTCTTGGCTGGAGACTGTGGTGCAGGCTGCTGAGCGGTGGATTTCGGGGTCCCCAGCTGCTGGGCAGGGTGCTTTACTATCCCTGGCTGTGGTCCTAGGGCCTTTGCTAGCCCTGGTTGCTGGAGTGCAGGCTTTGCAGGCCCGGGCTGTGATTTTTCGGGTCCAGGTTGCTGGGCTGGAGGCTTCCCAGGACCTGCCAGCTGCACAGTGAGCTTGGACAGGCTGTGCTGCAGGGGTTTAGCTGCCTCTCCCCATCCAGGGTCTGATGGCTTAGCCTGAAGCTTGGCTGCATCACACTGAAGTGGTGACTTTGCCTGGTCTGTCTGAGGAGGTGGCAGAGGCCCCTGAGCTGGCGTTCCTGCCCCAGGAGGCTGAGATTTAACTTTCTCGGCTTGCTGGGAAGGTACTGACTGGGGAGAGCCCTCTTGCTGAACAGAGTCCCTGGCAGGTCCTTGCTGCTTAGGAACTGGCTTGGGTGACTGCTGTGAGGGAGGTTTTGTGACACCCTCGGGTTTTCCTTGGTCCTTCTGAGCTGTTCTTTGTTTCTTGGTGGCTTCTTCCTGGGATGCCTCAGAGTCTGATATCAAATCAAAAGGGTTGAATTTATTTACAACAGAGGAGACAGCACTTAGAGGGTTGACCTCTGAGAGGAAACCAGGCATCATACTGGACTTGTGCTCTTCCTTGAAATCAGTCCTGGACTTGGATTCTTTCAAGCTAATAGTGGAAGGGCTCCTTCCAGGCAATTTCTGCTCTGACCTAAAAGTGTCTGTGGTTCTGCTCTTGCTGAGACCAGGCTGAACTGGACGCCCAGGGTCTGGTGGTTTCCCGGGCTGCCTTGGAGGGGGACTACTATCCAACTCTTGCTTTCTGGAAGAGTAGAAGAAAAAGAAGTGAGATGGTGGAAGTTACTTCAAATCAAGGTAATGTTAAAAAGGCATCACTTTCTTACATCCTTATAATTCTGTGTATAAATATAAGTAGAAGTAATTTTATAGCATCCTGTGAGTGATCAGAAAACTTTTAATTTCTTTGTATTTTTTAAATAGGAAGAAATTTTCAACAAGGTGAAGAAAAAAATAGATACAGCGGTACCTTGGTTCATGAACTCTTTTGTGAACAATTTAGTTTGCAAACAAAAGCATTTGGCAAAATTTTAATTTAGCTTGCAAACTCTACATCTGTGAGAAACACAACTGCGGCCATCTTTCCCACACAAACACAAACGTGCCCATCTTTTCCAAAATCATGGAACAAATGAAGTTCATGAAGTGAGGTACCACTTTACCTACTATGGGTGGTAAAAATTAAAATATGTACTTAAAATCTTATAACAAACATAATTTACATATGTTTCATAATATCTCACCATATCTCAAACCTAATTAAGTATAGGTTTAACTTAAAATCTCAAATAATCAATGCAATGCCATATTTCAATACATATATGGTCACCAAGTGTATTTTTTAAAATCAAAGTTATGGTTGACAAAAGTTTCCTAAATACTAGTAGCACTGAGAAGTAATATTTATATTAAAATACAGGAGACTGTCGTAATATTTTTACTCGATTTTGAGAATTTATACTGATTGCATAAGTCACACAATGAAATATGGTCCGTAATGGAGGTGACACAGTGCCTCTCCAACACAAACATTGACAATCTACTTAGTCCACAATATCCTATCTGGAAAGATAATACCCATCAAACAGTACCTTCATTAAACTTTACAGAATAAGGACTGCTACTTTCATTACTTAGACACTCTTGAGAAATCTTTCTTATACAAGTCCAGTGCTTTTTATTTTTTTCTAACAGTTAATTTTTAACCTACAATTTCTATGCAAAATTAGCAGTAAATGTTTAGTGCATCTTGGGATACAGCCTGGTGTCGAAAGTAACATGGTAGCTGTGGACCCACTCCTGAAGAGCACTATGATCTTCCTCAGCGGAGGAAGATACGATGCTATGCTACTTGTTACTGCCACTGGCAGGTCAGTAGTAATTTTACTTATCATTGTTGACATTGACACGAAGATGTGACAGTGATTTTCAAGATTTCTTTTAATCCACAGACAAATATTCAAGATAGTTTTTTAAAAATGGCTTCAGAAACATGGTCAATTTTGGATGACTGGCTAAATAATTAAAATAGCTCCATATATTTAGCCAAAAGTCATAGTAAGTATATTAACTTTTAAAATAACACATTCTTTTTAAGTTACAGCTAAAAGAATATCCCACATTGTCAGTACATAAAGAATCAGGTACTACTTTGTCTGGTATGTCTAACTTTTTAATTTCGGAAAAGGCATGTTTCTCTTTCATGAAAAGGAAACAGGATAGAGAAACAATGGTTCCATAGCACCTAAAATACGAAATGATCACAATAAACTTCCAAAGGTTTTAATTCTATCTGTCAAAATGTACCTGCTAAGGGGGCGGAATACAAATTTTTATTTTTGTACCTTTCAATAATATTATGTTTTTCAATACTCCCCTAATGGTGTAGAGATTTGAGTAAGATCAAGATATAAGATATACTTAAAAGCAGAGAAACAATACTTACAAAAAAGCAGACTCGGGAAGAAAGAAAGAAAATTATAAATGGCAGTGTACAAAGTAATCTTTTTATTAAAAAAATGAATTAATAGGACTGGTAGGGTAGCTCAGGAGTATAATGCTTGCCTGGCAGGTTAGAGTTCCATCCCACAGCAAGCCTTCCCCCCAAAAAGAACTAGACTTTTAGTTGGGGCATTTTCCTCCAGGAAAAAGGCCACAAAAAATAAACATCTTGTTGTGTCTCTGAAGCCTTAACTTAAACAGGAAATTTAAATGATTTATCTGGTTAATTCTAACAGTTCCATAATACAGTACCTGTTTAAAAATGAAAAATAAACTTTATCACACACTTCCATGTGAGAAAAATCATTTTGAGTGCTTCTTTATAGGGAATTCCTAAGTACTGTCTTTCCATATGAAGACAGAAGAAAATAAAATAGAATAGAAGTAGGTGATTTTCAAAGAGGTATACTGTTCAGATTTTTACATGTCTCAATTTTTTTCCATTCAATTCATTTAATGTAATACTCCATGGACGGATTAGAGAAGTGACTATTTTACAAGTAATTACTTAGGCATGTTATTGAATCAGTTCCTTGAACAAGATCCTATAAACCTGTCTTTAATGGAATATAAAATATATATTCTTCAATTTACCAAATTATTCTCTTCTAAAATATTATCAAGCTTATTTTAATTGTTGCCTTATAACATTATTTCATTTATTCCAACACATGTGGAAAACAAAAAAAATGAACTTCATGAATAATAAATATCCCAAATAACAGTAAATAACAAAACTGAAAGTAAGCTGCATGCACTACAATTTATAATGTCTATACTTCTTATAAATATTGAGTTATACTATGCTACAGAATCACCCTCAATTAAGACCTATATAGCCACTGCTCCACAATTTAAACCTATATAACCATGAAAGCTCCCCCACAATTTAAGACTGCCTAAGTTGCTATAATACATAAACACAGTGAAACACAGAGATCTGAGAGTGGGACGCAGAAAATAAATCATTAAGAGACAGTATCAGTTTAATGTAAAGCTGCCTTAGTTAACTGCCTCTTTGCTTCTCATGAATTTTTGTATGGTGTAACAGTTGTTCTGTTAAAAAAAAAAGTAACTAAAATGTAATTTGTGCCTTACACATGGGGCTGTGAAGTCCTAAAGAGAGAATACATTTTTCTCATCTTTTCACCACTAGAACCAAGCCTGGCAACTAGTACCTGAGTATTAATGTTTGATGAAGTAATGAGTAAATGGAGGTTACCAAGGACCAAATCCATGAATGAACATCTCAGTTTTGATTTTACTCAAATGTTTCTTGGATTCTTCTCCCTTCAGATTCTTCTTGAGACCCTCTAAGATCTGAACAGATACCTTACTCATTTCAGAGAGCCTCAGCTTGTTGCTTCTGGGAACAAGCAGTTGTGCAGGTGGCTGCTCAGCTGGGGAGGCCCAAGGGCCTTGACAGGAAATACCCAATTCTACAGGTTCCTCCTCGCTGCTATCCAATCAGGAAAGTTTTCCAGTAAGCCCTTCTCACGTGACACATCTCCATCTCTAAACAGAACAAACCTGCACTTCCCTGCCCTTACAACAAATCCACAATCCACGAGCCTACATTCCTATCCCATCTTCTAGCCTGTAGCCATCCATGCTTAATACTACCTCCCTTTCCATTTTACTATTGCTTCCCCAGATTAGAACTGTTCTTTCATAAATAAGCAAAATCAATATTTCAGCTAAAATGTAAATACAGGGATGTAAAAACAGGTGGAATGATAAAATATGACACTTTGAGAGTGCTGAGTCACATGAAATTCCACGATACTAGAAATATAAGCCACCTTAGGAAGGTCTATGCATTTTCATACTGTACAGCACACTAATCTTCTAGCTAAAATTCAAAGAAATAAAACCAGTTAGCCACAGAAACCTGGCAAGCTGACAGCTAGTCAGGGTAGGCATATAGGGATTTCTCCCCCATCACAATGACTTACCCGTATGTAAAGAAACAGAAATGCAGCAAAATAATTCACTGCAATGTGTACTTCAACACACAACCTGTCTGTAGCAATCACTGCATGGTGTCCCAGTGGTCATATTATCATTCTTTGTAGGATTACTTTAAATTAAAAATCTGACAGAAACACAACTGCCAATTTTTAATCCACACGAATTTTAAGACAGGTTAGACTCTCTAAGACAGGTATTATTACCCTTATTTGGAGGCAAGGAATCTGAGACACACACTGTCGGAGAAGTGCATGTAAATTGCTATGAGTCAGTTAAAACCAATAGGATAAGAATGTAAGTCTTCGCACTGCCCATCTTTATTTGTAAAAATAGAAGGTAAATCCCACCACGTCCATTTCGTACTTCCTAAACACTAAAAACTTCAAATATATATACAAATATACACGTGAATATATATATTCATATAATATTATATATAAAAATATATATGTTTATGTATAAATATATATTCATGTGTATATTTAAATTAACATGATTTTGAAAGTCTAAATGATGGGCAAAGTGTTTCCCTAGTTATCATATATGGGAATAACTTTCCAAAAGTTATGTACCTTTCATAAAAATCATGTTGCAAAACTCAGACCCAATCTTTATTTTGCTCAAATATGGAGGATGTCTTTCACTAATAGCTGTTTAAGACACAGATTCCCTGCTAATAACAAATCCACCATAACAAAATTATTAATGGAGAGCTTTAAAGTATACATTGTCTAACCTACCTTTAAAAGCATACTATCTGGTACCATATAAAGTCAAAGCTTTATGGGCTAAAGTAGTATTTTTCAGTAACCCTTTGAACAAAAAAAAAGTTAGGAATCTAAAACTCAAAGAACATACTTTTCTCAGTATTTGCAACCAGCATGCTAGACCTGTTGCATGCGCCCTTTAGAAAAATGATCTAAAATCTGGCACACATTTCTTAATGAGTAATAAAAATACTATAGCTTGTTATTATCCTATGAAAATCTAGTAAGTGGACATTACATTTTTCCATGTCAATTTTTCATCTAATATAGAAAAACAGTACATATCATAAACTATCATTTTTAGTAATGAATAAGAAACACTTTATACTAAAGAAATAGCCCAATATGTTAACAGTTACACAACAGTAGTAGCCATACCTAATATAATGGGGCTATTTTTCTCTAGTGGTGTTTTAAGATTAACAGCATTTTTACTGCCAAATTTTCAACATTTAAAATACATGAAAATACTATCACCAACCTTAAATTTTTTTATTTTTCCTATATTCAGTCTTATATTAAATTTAGTTATTTAATTTTGACAGTGAGCAAATTGAAATGTTTCTCTTTTATGAAGTAGAGGATTGCACATCTATTTAACCAGGTCTTTCCTATTTCCAATATTTCAAATGAAAATCTTAGATTTCCCTGCTTTGCCTTAAAGAAGAAATGGTTTTAGACCAGGGAAGAGAACGGCTCCTGGCAAAGGTGAAAGTTAAAGGGTTTGTTTACAAGATAAAGGCAGGGCACACACGCTGATTGCACTAATTAGAAAACCTCTCCTTCATGCGGACGAAAGCAGCGGAAAGTTGGGGAGGGAAGGGACACGCTAACATTACATACAAGCTTTTACAACCGCCTTGCAAACTGCCATTTGTTTCTGGTTTGAGATGTGTGTGAGAAAACGAATTTTAAGGCAATGCAAATTGACACGTTCTTCCAAAAACTGAAAGTCACTTCTGCATGAAAAAGAGCAACGGCTTAAAGCGCGGCTTGTGCAGCTGGGCTGGGCTGGGCAGGGCAGGGCTCCCGCGCCGAGACCCGCTCGGCCCGCATGCTGGGCTCCGAACGGCGCCACGGCGGGCGCGGACCGGGGTACCGGGGGGACCAGGGGGACCGGGGGACCCGCGCCCACCCCGCGCCCGCTCCGCCCCGCGCCCGTGCCTGTGCGGCGACGGCGGCTCCGCGGCGACCGCGCCCGGCGGCAGCGCCCGCGCCCGCGACAGCACGGCGGCGATCTGGCTCCGCTCCTCGGCGCTCAGCCGGCTCAGGTCCGCGTCCACGCCGGCCGGGACGTCGCCCCCCAGGCTCGCCTCGTTGCCCATGGCTCCCCGGCGCTGCCTCAGTGCCTCGCGGCCGGCACCGCCTCCATGTTGGACAGCGCCCGCCGCCGCGCGACGCCGCCTCAGCACCCGGCCGGCGACAGCAGCTCTGACGGGCGCCCGCCGCCGCCGCGCCCCGCCCCCCGTCCCCAGCCGGCTCGCGCTGCGCGTGCGCGCCCCAGAACAGGTGATGCCCGCGCCCCGCCTCCCGTCGGCCCTCGCGGTGCGCGTGCGCCTCGGAACAGGTGATGCCCGCGCCCCGCCTCCCGTCGGCCCTCGCGGTGCGCGTGCGCCTCGGAACAGGTGAGGCTCGCGCCCCACGTCCTTCGCCGGCCCTCGCGGTGCGCGTGCGCCTCGGAAGAGGCGAAGCCCGCGCCCCACGCCCTTCCCCTTCTGCGTCCCTCAGCATCCTCTCCAATCTCAGCACAGATTTAAAAGAGGCCGTGGGGCCTTCGCTCAGAGTGCTGCAGGCACGGTTCAGGATGCCTCAACTCCAGTTAGCATCTTGGGTTTAAGGGGAGAAGGGAGGGACAGGACGGGGTGTGATTTCAGCCTTGGCGCCTGGGATTTGTAATTTATTTCTGGGTCCTTCTTCCTCTTTGGGGGCTGGGGGGTTAAAAGATCATAGGAAGGGTTTCAGGAAACTGGAAATAAAAAAGAAAGACTTTCATACCTTTGGGGCATATTTCCCAAAAGGAGCTCAGAATGCTGTTTTAATTAGCACACTACCAGACTAATTAGACGAAAACTACTGTGCTTAAAGTGATAAAGCATCAGCAAGCAGGGGAGGGAATTGATGCTTAGGGGCCCCGCGTTGTTCCCTAAATGAACCACACCACAGAGGGATTGCAGGGAACTGTGCACGAAATCCACCTTAAGATTAAAATGTTCCCGCGCTTTGAAGACGTGTTATCATCCCCACCCTTTTTCTCTCTTTCTCTTTCTTTTTTTTCTTTTTAAAATGTTGACAAGATTATGAAAATGAAGAATAGTAAACACGAGCCACACAGCCCGTTAGCAGCCCAGATGTAACTAATCCAGTACAAAATGGGCCACACGCCCCGCTGCACTTCCCTCCCTGCCAGAGCACACAGCTACTCATTCTAAGGGGAGTGTACAAGCTCAGCGCCAGATATGTAACCCCAGTGTTGCTTGCCTCCTTTACTGTGGCCTTAATGTTGACATTAAAGAGTCTCAAAAGCTAATAATTGAATGCGAATAAATAAACGGAATGAATAAGTTGCTCCTGAGTTTTTGCAATAAGCATCATATCTATATATTAGATATTGTGCCTTCCACTTGTTTTAAAACTTGAAAGTAGCAGGTGTAACAATTTGTGGTTACATTTCCTGCTATTCAAAGTGGATACTCATCAGATGAAGTTGCTTCAAAAACTGCAGAAAATGTTAAGTAAACTTTGATCCCCTGATGCCATGTGGAGATATGACTGCCCAAATCAAAGCTTCAGATGTTATTCATAGCAATAAAGAACACTCTCACTTCATACAAAGAAATCAAGCTTAGGCAACCTAACATTCTGATGGCCACATTTGGAAGCAAATAAAATGTGCTCGTGCCTTCCTGGAGTCAGTTTGTTTCAAAGAAAAACACAGGTACATCATGAATCATAATTCAAATGTGTGGCTTGTCCACGGTTTGGGCAGCTGGGGAATGGGTGACATTCATAGGTGGATGTGAAGAAAAACAGATGGCTCACATGCTACGTGGAGGTTTTGTGTGTATACACATTCACAAACTTCAAAAACTAATGAATACCCTTTCAAACTGTATCCTTAGTACAGTGATTAAACTGAGAGAATATATTGGTAATTCTATATTATCTTCCACTGTAGATGGAAAGGAGCTAAGGAAATGATAAGGAAAGAAATGAGTGATAATGTGCAAAGTGTGCAATAAAAAATATTACATAGTCCACTTCACAAAGATGTGCATTTGCTTTCTCCTCCTTCCCCTCCCGAGAAGCAAACATCATCAGAAACAGGAGAGGTATAGTGGAAAAAAGTAAATGGACCATCAAACAAAAGATGGGAGGGTGATGGGCCTTGGGAAATATTGTGCCTGTTGACTTTTTAAAATTATTTTGCCTTTAGGACCTTTGTAACCCTGAGTTTTAAACAGTATTTTTTTTCCAATTATCTGTATGGGGTTAAATATGCTTGTACTTGGTATACTGTCCAGGTACATTCCTTATGTGTGAATTCTCCAACATCTAGAAGACAAGGATGAGGAAGACGTCAAGTGCTACAGTCCAATTTCTCCATGTTTACCCCCCAAAAAAAGTAAACTATGTAGACAAACTAATAGTACTGTATTCAAAATATTTGTTGCTCTTTGTTCTTTATGTATTTACTCTAATGACTGTTCATTTGATTTTAGATTTAATTCAACAAGTGGATCCTTTAGCTCTGATTTACTCCACATAATGGGTTGACGATGAAAGGAATCAATTTCTGAAAACCTCTACTGATCCATACCTTGTATCCATTGAAAATGGCAGTTACAGAGAACCAAAGATTTCCTTTCATTTAATTCTTGTCTCACTTTCCCAGGTAGTTTCTAATGTGTACACAATAGCCAATAGTATTAGACAGATTGCCCATCACTGAGATGCAGGGCCCAACGTCCACAGCTGAAAGGCAGAAAGGTTTATTTTGGCTCACAGTTTCAGGAGACTCAGTCCAAGTTCAGCTGGTGCCAAGACAGAAGCATTAAGGCAGATGAGCGTGGTGGAGAAAGGATGCTTAGTCTGTGGCGGATGGGGGGTAGAGCAGGAGAACAGTGCAGACAGGAAGGGGCCAGGGACAGACATAGACCCTACATCCATGTCCATGCCTCCACAGCCCAACCAGACACGCCAAGAAGTGTGCTTTACTAATCCCCTAGGAGGTTCCCAACCGGCATGATTGAACTTAGCCACCACACAATGTTTATGTGATAGTTAACAGCTAAACATGACTAAACATGACAGCTAAACATGAAAATGAATATATCTTGGACCAGGATGGCCCAGTCTACCCATGTCCTTGCAGATACAATTCAAAACAACATGAAATCAAAAGATATGAAATATCTCAATAAATTAAGGACTCAGCAGAGTTACAATTAAAATAGCTTTAAAATATTGAAAATGTATAGTCTCACTACTTTCATATATCTACAATTAAATTATCTTCATATATTTTAAGTTTGCCTATTTAACTAACAATAAAAGAATATATTCATTAAATTCTACCTAGAAAGATATAAACCAAGAATTTGATGATTTAGTAAATGTCCATTATGTCCCACTAAAACTATTTAAGTGATGATAATGCTAGTAAAACAGGCCCTTTCATAACTTAAACTTGAGAGTACAAATACATTCAGGCTATCTAGAAAGTAATTTGGCAATACATATCAATAGCCTTAAAAAAATTTTTAATCTGTGGTATATTTCTGGAAGCACATCCAAAAAAATCATTTCAGTAACAAAAATGTTGTGAAAAGATGTTCAGCAGTTCTTATTGATAGCAATAAATTTAAATAATTGTTACTCTTTCAATACAAAATAATGGAGAAATTAGCAACTAGGTGATAGTATTTTGTGAAAGCAGTTATTTTAAATAACACTTTTTAAAAGTTCATGAAAGGCACATTGCACAAGTATCCATTTGAAAACAGAAAGTAAATTTTCATGAAGTTATATAATCATAAATATGTGTCTCAATTTAGATTGAGATCTTCCAAAGGCCACAGGTGGGCTTTCAGAAGATGATGGAATCACAGAGGTGATATAGCTGCTTTACTGTTAGCAAAGGGTCAGAAGAGAGGTCACTGGTGGCCGTGACCCGAAGAATATATCTCCCTCCCTGGCTCCTCCTTCCTCTCCACTATGAGGTGAGCAGTTTTACTCCACCAGACTTCCTGTCATGTTACTTTCTCCTTGGAGCTGTCTGACTATGGACTGAAACCTGAACGAAAACAAAACTCTCCTCCGTTAAGTTGCAGATGTCAGGCATTGTGTTCCAGTGAGGAGAAAGTACCAAGATCATATGCAAAAAATAAAATAAAAATGAATCCACCAGAATAAATGGAAAAAAACTCCAGGAAAAAAACCCATACTTATCAGAAAACAAAGGTCATATGTATTTAGTGGGAGAACAAGAGGGAATCATACTTTTTAAAAATTTTCTGTAATTTTCAATATTCCTAAGTGAATTTGTGGTTTTGTTATAGTGTAAATTTACCAATACTTATTATTACTCATTAATGTTTAAATAACTACAGAATACCCAACCCCCAACTTGAAACTATACTACAAAACTACTGTGATAAAAACAACATGATACTGGCAAAGAAACAGACCTGAGGACCAGCAGAACAGATTAGAAGATGCATAAACAACTCCAGACACACTCAGCCACCTCATCTTTGACAAAGGAGCCAAATACTCTCACTAGAGGAAAGATAGCCTCTTTAATAAATGGTGCTGGAAAAATTGGGTTTCAACTTGCCAAACATTAAAACTAGACCTCTATCTATCACCATGCTCTAAACTAAAATTGAAATGGATTAAAGATCTGAATATTAAAACAAATGCTGAACTGGCTTGAAGAGATGTTAGGTAGAACTCTTGAATACATTGGTGTAGGAAAAGATTTTATGAACAAAACCTGAGTTGCCTGTGAACTAGCACAATCAACCAGTGGGATCTCTTCTTACTAAAAAGCTTCTGCATAGCAAGAGAAACCACCAACATTGTGAAGAGACAACCCTCAATGTGATAAAGAAGTTTCACCTGCTGTTCCTCAGACAAAGGTCTACTATCTAGAATCCATAAAGAACTTAAAAAAATCAGACCTCCCAAATTTAAAGACCCAATCCAAAAATGGGCATCTGAAATGAACAGACATTTCTCAGACAAAGAAGTAGAAATAGCAGATAAACATATGAAAAAATGTTCAACATCACTGGTCATTCGAGAGATGAAAATGAAAACAACACAGAGATTCCACCTCACCCCAGAAAGAATGGGTGCTATCATGAAATCAACCAATAACAAATGCTGGTGGGGCTGTGGGGAAAGATGAAACCTGCTCCACTGCTGGTGGGAGTGTAGACTGGTGCAACC